TAAGAAACCAGGCCAATGGGTAGAATCATAGATACAAATGGAGTGGATATTCTGGATTTCATCTACTATATCTCACAAAATAATGGCCAATGCCGTCTGATGCATGCAAGAGGAAACTAATCTACAGTTTAGTACATTATGTCCTTAAAACAGTTTTCCTGGCACTATAGGTTTCTAAGGTGCCCCCCTTTCCCTGTCCCTCGGCGCTGGGTCAGGCTCCACCCACGCTCCTCCCTTGCTGATGTCAGCCGGCGGGGGAGACCTAATGCGCATGCGTGGAAATGCAGAGCGTGAGGATGTCCAGTGTCAAATACCAGACCAAAGGTCTGTTTCAATTCAGAAAGCACTCTAGTGGCTGTTTGGTAGACAGCCACTGTGGGTAGACTTAGCGCTGCAATGTAAGCATTGCAGTTTCTCTGGAACTGTAATGTTTAACATTGCAGCACTAAGTGTAAAAGGGACACAGCACAAAGACCACTTCAATGATTTGCAGTGACCCTTTAACGAAACAGCACTTCATATGGAACTGCATCCTTATGCAGTCCTTTCTAAGAAGGTACAATGTTTAGGTAGCTCTGGGATGTCCTGAAATAATGGTTGCTATATCAAAAAGGACTAAGTTGTAAAGGGCTGCTGAAGCTGAGGGGAATAGCAGTACTAAAATGGAGTCAGAAGAAACTGCTAACAATGCAAAAGGTGGGGACAGAATGAAGAGTGCACATAACCATGGGATACACTTAAGGTCTGGGAAAATGGACTCATAACAAGAAGCAGAGATGAAGGGAAGCTCTGAAGATGACACAAGGCTCCATTGCCAGTAATGCCATGAATGTTAGGTATGCATTCTGCTTTACTGGTCACAATGTCTGCTGGTAGATTGTTTAGTAAGCTTTATGTTTCCTGATTTTCAGATGAACTTGCTCATCCAGGTTTGTAACGTTTTGCAAACAATACCAGTTTGCCTTCCTCAAGCATACTTTTCTTATCCCGAGTCTGACCTGCACTCATTTGTTTAGGGGAATTGTGGGCCCACCTCCTAGACCCATGCTCTCTTTTTCTGTAAGTCGTGTGTGTGATGGTTGATTGCTGAGTAAGCCTGAGAAGTGTAAAGGGGGGAAAGGGCTGAGTGTGTCTGTGTCTCTGGTATTGTGTCCATGTGTATGTGCCTGCAAGTGTGTATGTGCAATTCTGACTGAGTGTGTGAACAAGACATTTTATTTGATTTGTGATTGGGAATTCCGTCTGATGGCCTAAAAAAAAAGATAAATTGTAGGAAAAATTAAGATTGATGGTTAGGGGACAGCCACTAAATGAGATCAAGTGAAAACTGACCAATAGAGGAAAAAGGATGACCAGTGAAAAAAAACCTCTATATTCATTTATTATATATTTAATAAGTATATAATATATAAATATCATTTTTGTTACTGCTCCTAATTTTTTTCTCTTTTGGCTTCTCTGCTCACTTGATTGACTGTGCCTCAAATGGCAGGAAAATGTGCCTATCAGTGTACTGCAAAACATATACATGATATTTGTAGTTTTTGTACATTTGTTCCCTATTGTGAATCCAGTATACAATATGGAAGAGGGGCATATTAAAATGCATGCTGACTGAAAGAGCAATTACATTGTTTAATATGAATCTTTCCCTCCTCTATAGGAATGAGTAATTTGATCTAAAGTATAGGCACATTGAGTGCAGTGACCAGAAGGCAATAGGGAAAAAAATTAGAAAATGTGCATAGCCTGCTACTATGTAACAAAGATTTACATCTTGTACATTTACATCTGCTGCTGAAATTTGACTGTCATGCACAATATTATAGATTAACCCCTTATTGTCGCATGATGAAATGATTCCGTCATGGTTGTCCTTCCCTAAAGGAATAATAACACAATAATATCGTCATGCGGTATTTTGCCAGCAGCACTGTTTCTGATATCTATGGTCCCCTTTTGTCAGCTGCGTGTGTGCAGCAAATATGTATCCCTGTGTTTGTTTGGAAATGGATATGTGTACCTTGAGTTGTGAATCTGTTGGTGTTTCTGACTGAGTGTATATCAGTCTGTATCAGCGTGCGTGTATCAGAGTTGTTAACTAAACTCTGTATTTGAGTGATTTAAGTCCAAATTGTAAAACGGAGGCCAAAAAACTGCCAAGCTTTGTCTATTGTTGAGGTTTTTTTTCTTCTTGTTTTTATTTTTCAGATAAGCTACTTTAGACTAATTTTTGCAGTTTTGTTTAAATTTGCTTTGAACATTCTATATTAACAGTTTTTGGTTTGAATTCTACCACTTAAACAGCAGTGCAGAAAATATTTATTCAGAGACTCCGAGTTGAGTACATTATTACACTTCATGAGCTAAATTACAAGTCAGTGCATCCATT